GCAGTGGGTGACCTGATGAATTGCCAGGGTGCATGGCCACTGCCCCGTCCTCAAGGACCAGGATTCATCGATCAGGTACCCTTGGGGGAGTTCAAAGAATGGAGAGATTAGGAACTTGGAAACTGCACTCTGCTATTTAGTTGCTGGGAGAGTAGGCAGGTCTGGAAAAGGGGGATAATAATGCCAGTCCCATAGGATCGGGGTGAGGATTACATGAGATGGACTAAAAATGTCCTTGCTCCTGGGCATAAACAGGACAAGTATTCAGGGTACTCGGGACTAATTCATGGGTAGAAAAGTTACTCAGACACTGAAATGTCACGGTACGGCAGACTCTATTTCAGCCACAGTATACCAGGGCAAGCTCTAACCCGAGGAGCAACCGGATTCAGAATAGGGATGACAGGTGTCAGGCTTTCTGATACTGGGTATCTCGAGGACCTACTATGCCACATACCCTGACCGCCTCCATGGCAGCCAGGAGCTGCGCCAAGTGGAGTCACTAGGGCACCCTCAGCAGAGGGTGTGCAGTTCGCTTCCCCAAATATTTCCCCAGGAGAGATAAACCAAGAGATAAACGAAGGTGTCAGGCAACGCCAAGCTCGGGTGAGGCCAGACCTCTGGGAGAGCAACCGTGAATGTTGATGAAATGGGCAGAATCTAAACAGCATGATTTATTTTCCAGAGTCTTTGGCAGTTTTAATCCTATTTTCCTTCCCCTCCCCTACTCTTAACAGGGCAGGGCGAACAGTCTTCAGGCCAGCTGGCTGTGCTCTCTGTTTTCCTCACGAGGATTTGTGTGTGAATCTATAAAGTTTTTACACGGCCATTCTTAGTGCATCGATGCTACTCCAGGTTCCTATTTGCTCTTTTAGGTTGTGGCCAACACACAAAGACATTGCCTAGTTTTAGAGGTGAAGAGACACAAGGCCACCAGTGCTCACTGAGCGGTATGTCCCCTCTCCTCCCTGGCACACCTGGAGAGCCCCACACCTATGGCTTGCTCCCCTTGCCCCACCTTCCTGAGAGCCCCACCCTCTCCCTCCCCAACCCGCACCCAGGGAGGCTCCCACAGTGACCTCTGGCTGACCAAAGTTTACTAGCCGGGACTTCCTCATCCCAAATCTCAGTCCCAGATGACAATTAAGTCATCTCACTCTCGTTTACCGTTTACCGGAGGGAGGAGGCCTCCCAGCGGCCCGCACCCTTTCCTTGGGCCATATATGCATTTTAGCAGCTGCATTCATTGGCTCATTTAGCAAATAACCTGGCCCAGGATAAGCCGTCAGTAAAGAGAACCCTTGTTGATAGTATTATTAACAACTGAAGCTTACTGACACAACTGAGTGCCAACCACATGCCAGGTACAGTGCAAGGGTGCTGGATCTACAGCGATGAGCAAGATGCAGCCCCTGCCTCTGGCTGTTTCCAGGCCACTGGGGACGACTGACAGGAACATGCTATTAAACTGAAGGTGATGGAGACAGAACAGGACAGCGTGCTCTGTGCCCCAGAAGCACATGAGGATCGGCTGACTACCTCTGAGAGATCTCACAGAGAAGGTAGCATCTGGGCTCTGCTACGGTCTGAATGTGTTCCCCCAAGATTCATATGTTGAAATAAAACCCCCAAAGATGATGGTCCCTCACCCCATCCACCACGTGAGGACACAGTGAGAAGGCGCCCGCTCTGAGCCAGGGGAGAGCTCTCACCAGAGGCAGCTGCGCTGGCGCCTCGACCTTGGATTCCAGCCTCCAGAACTGTGAGAGAGAAATGTCTGCTGTTTCCAGCCACCAGCCGGTGGTATTTTATTAGAGCAGCCTGAGCGGACTAAGATGGGCTGTTTCTCCAGGGCTGAGGGGAAGCCTGCCAGAGGGAGAAGGGAAAGGACATGCTGGGCAGCAGAGAAGGATGTGAGGCGAGGAGGGGACACAGCGAAAGGAGGAAAGCAGATTGAAGGAGGGACAGGGCTGGCAGAGGCGAGGCCCACGAGGCGCCAGGGAGGTGGCCTGTGCAGAGCCTGTGAGCCATCTGAGAGCAGGAGCCTTGTCCCGGGTGAAAGGAGCCAAGTGGGAGAGGGATCTGAGGACCACGTGGCCCCACTAATGGGACCCTGAGTCTGAACAGGAGGTGGGAGGGGTGGAGGCAGGTGAAGAGGAAGCTTAAGGGCCCCCTAGGGGGGAAGGTCTGTGGTGTCTAGAGTGCCACACGCCCAGGCACCTGGTAGATTTTGTTACACAGGCGGTGCCCCCTGCATCGTGTGGATGAGGAAAATGCAGCAGTAGGTGGTTACCAGGCTTAACACTCCTGTAACATTCTGCAAAGCAGCTATACAAATTGTGCTGGAAGGCCACAGTTGTTCTCTGTGGCCTCATTGTGATGTCTGTACGTGAAACATGACCACAAAGAAACGGGTTTGCCTGGTTAACAAACCATTGGAACCCTGGATTTCCCCTGAACGTGTTGTCCTTCAAAAGTGGGTATAGTCATTCTGTTGACACCAAGAGGGTGCCTATAGGGGGATCCCAAATGAAGGCTTAGGTTTATCTTAAGACAAACAGATTCACACGGATTTACATGACACCCCCAGAGGAAGTTACTGGACTTCTTGATTCTCAAGGACAAGGTAGATGTATCTGCTTTCTGTAGAGTCAGACGTGGATTCACCGAGAAGAAACTGGGGCTTGAGTTTCAGGGTCCCCCACCAAGGACTTATGCCAATTTTTAAATTCATAATTTTATATTCTTTTTCTCGGGGGGCACAAATACAACCTGAATCTACCCAGGGTGTATTTCCAATTTGAAAATGACATTAATCTTGAGCAGTAAGCAAGGAGAGCCTTGGCAATATTTAAGCGTTTTCTTATTCGACATGGTCTCTAACTGTAAGGAGGCTTCAATGGAGAGAATGAGTAGTCTGTCTTGACTGTGCTGCAGATTCTCACTGCAACAGACACTTGATTTCAAAAGTGAATTTTTGCTCCCAGGCCAAACTTTTCACAATCCATTTTTCCAGTGGGGCAGTGACTGGCTCAGTGAGGGTGACTGGACACATTGCATCGCACTCAGGGGGTGCCTGCTACATATTCAGTGAACACTCAGTAGCAATCGTGGTAAAAACTTATTAGTCTCAGCATGCTTGAAGTCCTTGGGTTTTTGTATTTTTTAAAGTAATTTTAAAAATACAAAAATGTTGCAAGAATAATTGAAAGAACATTTCAACTCTCAAATAATTTGAGAGTAAGTCACAGGCATGATTCCGTTTCCCCTAAAACTTTAGTGATATGGTCTTCAAATGAGGACAGCCTTCTACATAACTGCAATTTAAGCATCAAAACCAGGAAACCAACATTGGCACATTACATGCCACCATCCCCACTCAAGATTCACAAGTCGTCTCCTCAATCTCTTTGTACAAAACCACTCTCCTGACTCTGCCAGGCCACTTGCCCTGGTTGGCACACCTTTGTGTGGGCCATACTATTATGGAAGGAAGGCCTTGCTTTGTTTTTAGAATGGGAATATGATGAATTATATAATGATCAGCAACATTAGCAACGTGGATCAGCTTAAGAACTGACTTCAGAAATTCTCATTCAGGTCTTTCACTTTTCACTGACAAGCTTGATCTACAGCAATAAAGTAGGACTTACTAAAATCCCCAACCTCAATAATCAATATTCCCCAGTGCAAGGTCACTAAAATTATCAGCTCTTGCTAGTTTATATATGCCCTTAAAGATAAGTTTGTTACATTTTACCCAGTATTTTTAGGTGTTTTGTAGTGAGACTGTTTTCAGTTTAGATTGTTCACCTTATTACCAGAAAGTTCAGTCCTGAACACCTAGTTTGAAATACTTTGAGTAATTACTCTGAAAGGTAGACTTCTACTGGCAGGTGAGTTGTTATGTGGCCGGGTCTAGGATGAATGCCACTGGGTCCCCCTGGGAAACTTCCAGTCCTTGGAGAATGCCTGGGAAAGCTCTGGACAACAGCTGGACATCAGGCCGCTAAGGTCTGCCCATCTAGACAACCCATTCCTAGTTGTATGAGCCAGTTCCTCTCTAACAAGCTTTTCATGCACCTGATGAGGCTGCCCTATCTGTCACCTATGTATGTATGTATGTTGTATGTATGTATGTACGTACCTCCCTCCCTTTAGCCAAGAGTCCCAGCACAATCACAATATTTCAGCCACTGATCTCTGTCATCTGAAGTGGGATTTGGAGAGCGGCTTGGGACCAAAAACTAAGTGAATGTCACTAATAATTGCTGACTTTAGCCAGAGAAAGTTTATCTTGCATTCCCAGCATTTTTAGGATTCCTACTGTAAAATTCTGTCGTGAACCATCCTGCCCAGATCCACCCAATGCAGTATAATTCCCTAGTTTTATCGTCAAGGGAATAATTAAGACTCCGCAATGCAAGGCACAGCAAATGGTGGGGAACATGTCTGTATTTCATTCTGATGGATTTGAGTTACACAGTCTTTGGACACAGCCACTCTTGTAGAATCAGTATCCAGAGCCTTGCCTGGCTCAGATATACCTCTGAACTGACTGAAAGGTGTTCACTCCATGGTGTGCATTTCTTGTGCTTTACTGATTCTGTTGGCAGGAACACTCAGCCTTCATCTTGCCAAGGGTGTTTCTGTTAGAATGTGCCCCTTTAGTGACTATGGAATTCTGTAATGCAGACTCACCAGCTGGGGTCCTGAACGAGCCATTATAAACTCCTAAGCAGTTGCCAGCAGAAACCTCATTGAGTATTTCACAGTAAAGTGAGCAACATCAGTAAGAAATCCTCCAACAAGAGGCCAAATCTAAACATATTACAATACTACATGTATTAAATGTGGTCATTATCCTCCAGGTTGCTGGGACCACTTGCTTACTATCAGAGCACAACAACTGACAATGTGAGACAAAGCCATTTCCCCCCAAATCCACAAGTTCATGTGCAGTTCTAATCTGGTAAAGCAGAGACGATAAAATACCTTACCATGGCAAGTACTGGGGCAATAACACTGCTCAGAAGAACAGTACAACCGACCCGAGTCCTCCATCTTCCTTCCTTCAGTACAGCACGGAAAGCCAGCCTGCCGACCCCAGGAAGCCTCTGACATTTTCACTTCTTTCAGGCTCCACCCTACCTGCAGGATGGTGATCAAGCACATTAGTGCGGCTCTGTTGTGTTCTGACTGCCCTCATCTCCCAGCACTCCCACCTCCTGCGCCCTTGTGCTTGGGGTTGCCTGCAGTCTCCATGGCCTTCTCTACCTCTATGCCCTCGCACGCAGTTAAATTACTCCAGAGCAGTAACTAGTTCTCAGCTGCATTAACTGCTTATTCATCTCCCACCCCCTCTAGACTACAAGCCAATGGTAGCAGGTCCCATGACAAGCAAGCATACTTACTTGTATGCTTGGGTCATAGAGAGAGATCAAGAACTATTTATTGGATGAATGAAAGAATGAACGAATGCTTCCAAGGGACCATTTAACATGCAGATTCTCATTGGTTCAGGTTCCAGGGTGGAGGTTGTGTTCACTTGCTTAGCAACAGTAGAGGGCATTTTCATTACCTACTACTGTTGGCTCCCTCAGTTTTGTCAACAGAAGACATATTGGGGAAACAGTAGAGTTAGGGTACAGGCAGGTTTTAAAAGCAGCCCTTTACTGGAGAAAAAAATAACCTGAATCAATCATACCCTCCATCACTCTTCCTGGCAATGAAAGGGGTTAAAAGAATGAATCGAAACCATTAAAATGAACTACACTGGCATCCAGCATCTATTACATTACAGACTCAACTCATGTCACTATTTTTGTAGCTAATAACTTACCAGGTATTTGCAATAATTATTCTTATATATATGTATTAATTTCTCACATCATATTATATATAATTATATGACAATTTCCCATCCCTAAGATTTAAGTTCTATTAAAGATTGCTAAGTCTAGCCGTGGCTGGGTAGCTCAGTTTGGTTAGATCATCGTCCTGATACGCCAAGGTTTTGGGTTTGATCCCCAGTCAGGGCACATACAAGTATCAACCAATGATGCAGCAATCAGAGGAACAACAAACTGATGTTTCCCTCTCTCTTTCTCTAAAATCAATCAATAAAAAAATTTTTTTAAAGACTCCTAAGTCTAAAAGTATAGCTTAATGTGGTCTAAAAAAGTGGGTTTGTCTAATTTCTTTTCTATTGAATTGGCTGCTCATTTGACTGACTCAAATAAGCCAAACAGGTTCCTGGGCGTCAAGCACATGTTGCCTAAGTCACACACTTTCAAATGAGGAAAAAAAAATAGCTCCACTTAAATTCAAACCATTTAGGTAAACTTAATGCTTTGCAACTTTCTGGAAACTCATTTCACTTAAAATATATTTGGATGTGTACTGACTTGCAAAGTTTTCATTTCTGTATAATATTCACTACCACCACACTGTGCCACACACACACAGCACATTTTATACCTTTACACTGCCAAAGGACTCAAAAGTCTCCCTTTGATTGACTAGCAGTAATGAAAATAATCTGTTGATTATGCAAGATCAATTAACAAAATGAGTGCCTTTTAAAGGGAACAACATCTTCTAAATTATATTTTAAAAGAAATGCATTTAATTTTCGTCAATGCTACTTCCATTCTTAGTATTTTGTGTTTGTTTTCCTTATGTATGAGTGTGTGTGTCTTGCTAGACTAATAATTTTCATTAAGAATTACGGCCAGAGTTGGAGCTTGGGACCATGAGAAAGAACAGGTTATTATTACCTTAAAAGTACAGTCTATTTCCCTAATGACTGTTTGTGAACAAGGCTATTTTGCTGAAAAGTCTTCAGAAAGCTCTATTAAAGAATAGCCTATGTATTATACCTAATAGATTTTCAATAACTATTTGTTAAGTGAACAACAGACACAACTAAAGCTGAAGCTGATATTTGGAAATGATGTTGCTGAAGTTTCAGTAAGGACATTTAAAGCTATAAATGGTGACAAATGGTCTTAATGTAAATTACTACCTATGACATTCAATACAGTATGTAGGTCTATAAAAGGAACAACAAAGGTATAATCATTACAGCTACATGCTTTTCTTAAACAATTAGGGAAAGGGGCAAGAAAGAGAACTAACATTTTTGAGTATTTATATCCACCACAAACTTATCCAGGAACTTCATATATCTCAGCTAATCCTTGCAGCAAAGTAGGCCACGTATGAAGAAAATGAGGTTCAGAGAAGTGTAGACTGCAGATTGCACCCAGGCCTGCCTGGCTCCAAAGGCAATCCCCACTGCACTGTTGTATGTGTATTTGGAACCGTCATCAGGCAGTTCTGGTAGCTCTGTCGGGGGAAGGGTAGAAAACTGTTTAAGAGTCATCTTATGACCAGTTTGCTTCCTGGTTCCTAACCAACCAAGGGGATTATGTGAGGCCACTTTGTATACAATCCAGTCTCCTTATCAACGAGCACAGCAGAATCAAAAATCTTTCCAAAAACTTTGTACTGCAGGTTTAATGTGGTCTGTTGTTCTGGGGAAGTGAAGGCTGTGAAGACCCCTCGCACCAGTCTTTTCCCTTAGTAGCAATCCTTTTTCTTCTAAAAAGCCAGCAGCAGGACAAACATCTTCATTGACTGATCTCAACTCCTTTTGTGCCAGTCTACGGCTGAATTTCCAATCAGATAAGACAGGAGAAAAGAAACTATACAAAGCTTAGTAGTTAAGGGCACAAATGTCAGAGTCAGACAACCCTGAATTATGAATCCTGGCACTGCCATCATACAAAGTCAAGTTATTCCATCTCTCTGGGCCTTAGTTTCCTTTTCTGTAAAATGGATATAATAATGGTATCTAAAGAGATTTTGTAAGGATTAAATGAAACACCTCTTAAGCATTTACAATGCTTGGCACATTGAAAATACTTAATAAACGGCAGTTTTTCATGATGTTTTTCATATTCAGTAGTTACTAAGTTACAGTCTTCCTACATCCAACTGCAAATGATCTTCAAGGCCGTGAGCTCAATAAATCTAGGAAGCCTTCACGAAGGGCTCTGCAACCAGAGGGGCTATTTGTGATTCTGAGGAGGAAACAGAATTCATTAACAGAACTCCTTTCAAGCTAAATTCCCATCCGATAACAAGTGATGGCTTCGAATGGTCCTTTTTGCTTATGTTTAAGTATGATCAAGATTTTCGACATTTCGAAATCACACTCGGTATTTATTCAGTAACTTTCACCAAAGAAGCTCCAAACCAGTTCCTCACCCAAATAAACACAAGAACCCTGAGACACAGAAGCCATGCCGCCCGGGATGGACAGCCAGAATCCAGGGAGGCCAGGCCTGGCTCTCGTCACCCTACGGCAATGAGATGGAAATGAGATCCTTTTGAGATGCCTGAGGGTTTCGTTCATGTGGCTTCAGAGAAGGGTGGGTAACAGGACCGGAGGGAGAGAGGGAGGCCTGGCGGCTCTGGACGACAAATAATAAGGCCACAGAGGTCCCGTTTAGCTAAGGGAGAAGAAAGAATGGCAGAAAGACAGGTCTGCGGAGGGAGCGACCGCTTCCAGACAGGAGACGCAGCTCTGGGCGGGCACGGGCGAGGTGCGCGTTTCCGCCACGCGGCCTGTGAGAAGCGCAGTAACACCATCCTGCAACTCCCTCCCGGCGTCTCGGGTGTTTGCTTCTTCCCTTTTCAACCCACACAGGCTCTTTCGTTAAAATGTAACCCAACCGACAGACTGAAGAACGTGCGTGGAGGGCCGCGGCGCCCCTCCAATCGGTCAGGGCCTCGGGCCCCACGCGGCCCAGCCTCCACGGGCCGCAGTCCCACTCACCCTGCGGTGCCCCCGGAAGCGTTCCTCCCCCGGATGTCGCCCCGCCCCGCGGCGCGCAAGCGTGTCGTCACTCGCGGTCGGCCAATCAGGGCAAGCGACCAAAATAGCACAATATAAATACGTGCTGGCAGGCCGACGGTCGTTGCCCGCGCCAGACCGCGCTAGGGCGGGGTTGCGCGCGCAGGTGGGTGGGCGGGGCCGGCGCCACCTGAGGGGCGGGGCGGGGCCCCTGCGCACCTGTTTTCGCTGCCGTGGGCGGGGAAGGTTGTCGGCGGCTTCTCCCGGACCCGCAGAACATGGAGTTCTGTGCGAATAACTGGCGCGGACGGGCTGTAGTTCAGCAGGAGCCACCCCTCCCCTGCTCCCCGGTTTCCTCCTGGGGAAGCAGCGCCCCCGCGGCCTGCGGTCGGCGCGGCCGAAGGGCATGTTCCAAGGGCCGACTGCAACCGCGATCCCAGGGGTGACTCCCCGTCCCTCCGGGACAGACGTCAGTGCAGCCGGCGCTCGGCCCCGGCGGAGAGTCTGAAACGAACCGTGGGCCGACGCCTCTCCGCTCCCCCCGGCCGCTCGCAACCAGGCCGGGAGACGGGAGGGTCCCCGCGCGGCTGGGGCCGCGGCGATGAGACGGACAGTCCTCCCAGGAGGAAGGGTCACTTCAAGGTGACCTTTCTGGGAGAAAGTGACTTTGAGCTCAGTGGTGGAAAAACAAAGGTTTTGGCATCGTCCACACGCGGCTTCCAGCCTCGGCTCGCGTCACACCCGCTCTGTGACCCTAACACGGCCAACCTTGGGGTGCTCCCGTCTTTAAGACGCAGATCACGGCACAAGCCGCGTAACACATTCTTGGGGCGCCCGTCCCTGCCCCCCACGATCACGTTCATTCTCTCATTTCCCTCCCTTTTTTCCTTACTTCCTCCCTTCTCAGTATCTCCTTCATTTTCTTTCTTTTCTTCCTCATTCCTTCATCTAACTTGCTTTTTTCTCATTGAGGCGTAACTTACACGTAAACTGCACAGACCTTAAGAACTTTAATGTTCGTATACACTGTCCTCCGCTCCCCGGTCACGGCGCAGGGCATTCCTCTAACCCGGGTTCCCACTGCTGCTCCCCAGGCGGTACGCACCCCGGAGGCAACCCCGCTCGGGCTTCTGTTACTATGTATCAGTTTGGCCCGTTCGCTGTCAAGCAGCTGCTTTTCTCTGTGGCTTGTTTAACCCAACATAATGTCTGCAAGACTCATCCGTGACATTGCGTGTATCTGTAGTTCCTTTATTGCTGGGGTAGGATTAGTCTATTGTCTGAATACACGGCAATTACTTCGTCCGTTCTCCCTTTGATGGGCATTTTGGTTGTTTTTAGGTTTTGGCTATTATGAATGAAGCTGCTGTGAACGTTCACACTGTCATTTGGTGAATAAATGTACTCGGTTCTGTTGGGTATACACCTATGAGCAGAGTTTGTGTCAGTTTCCCCAAAAGGCTGAATCAATGTATGGAAGTTAGTTTCTTCACAGCTTTGCCAACAGTTGGCATGAACAGTCTGATTCTTGGCAAATGCAGCAGTATTTCAGTGTGCTTTTCACTTGTATTTCCCCAATGAACAATAATGTTGAACCCCTTTAATAAGTAATTAGCCATGTGGTTAACTTTTTGTGAAATGATTGTTCAAATAATCTGTTTTTTAATGGGCTCACCTGTCTTTTCCCTACGATTTCTAGAAATGCTTTATATTTTCTGGATGTTTATCTTTGTTAGGCATCATGAATATATTCACAGAGTCTGTGCCTTGCCTATTCAGTTTCTTATGATGTCTTTATTTCGTATTTTTTTTTAAATCAACATACAATAACACCGAGTTTTTAAAAATTACAGTTCTATGAGATTTGACACATGTATAAATAGTGTAACCACAAACCTAATCAGGATCCATAACAGTTCTGTCACTTTCCAAAAATTCCCTTGTCCTTCCCCCATCTGTAACCTCTGGGAATCACAAATCTATTCTTTGTCGCTATAGTTTTGCCTTTTCCAGGATGTTGTATAAATGGAATCACATAGTGGGTAGTCTTTGGAGTGTGGCTCCTTTCACTCAGCTTAATAATACCTGTGAGATTCATCCATGTCGCTGCGTGTATCGACGGCCATTCCTTTGTATCACTCAGTAGTTGTCTATCGTGTGCATGTACCACTGTTTACTCACTTGTTGAAGGAAATTTGGGTTGTTCACACTTCTTGACAACCATAACTTGCCCTGCTATAAACATTTGTGTACAGGAAACGTTGTCATTTCTCTAGATTAAGCACCCAGGAGAGTTGCTAGGTCATTTGTGTGTGTTTAACTTTATGCAGCTATGCCAACCTGATTCCCAGGAGGACCATTTGGGTCTGTGTCGGCAATGTGTGAGAGTTCCAGGACATGTTGTTAGCACTGTTTTTACTTTAGGGTTCTAATAGGCGATGGTGGCATCTCATCATGGCTTTACTATGCATTCCCTAAAGGCTAAAGTGTTGAGCATGATCCTATGGGTTTATCTGGCATTTATTCTCATTGGTGAGATCTGTTCAAGAAA